TTTGGGCTGCATGGGGTTGGAGGAAGGGGGGGGGGGGGGTCTAAAAAGTTGAAGGGATGTCACCAGGACATGTAACACACTGGGCTTCACCCCACCCTCGGGCCATACTGAAGCGATGTCACCAGGACATGTAACACACTGGGGCTTCACCCCACCCTCGGGCCATCCTAAGGTAAGAATAAGAAAAAGTCATGTGACCAAGAAGTGACGGGTTAAAATAGGTGTTTATTCCATTTTTTGATTATTCCTCTGCAAGTTAGTTGCTGATGGTGTTCTGTATTGTATATACTGGGGGAAATTCCTGCGTTTACAACTAAATAAAAAGAAATAAAATGGTCGATTACAAGAGTCTATATGGGCAGAGGAATGCTTTTACACGACTTAGTTTACATACATACACCTTAAATTACCCTAAAGACAAAGAGAACATAAAATATAGACAGGCTTGCCCTGTCTGCCTGCAAGATCATCAGTGGGGCCTTCAGCCATAAGAGTGTCAAGTCAAACCTGTTATTATGACCCAGGAACCTGTAAAATAAGACTGTGAGTACTTACCCCACCCGCTGCCGGAATGCCCTTGTTCAGTAGAAATTCCAGGAGTTGCGATCTCTTGGGTCTGATGTAGCTCTCACTGGCTCCTCTTGCCGACCTCTCTGGCATTACAGGATACATGGAGGTGATAGGAAGGGAACTAGTGAGAGCTGCGGGGGACCTCTGACCACTCCGTTCCCGATCTTCTGCTTTCCAGGGATTCTCCTTTCCCCTCTCCGTTCCTCCAGCACTCATTGTAGGGACAGGCAGGGGAGGGGGCGGGCTAAGCTGGCGCTGGCTCTAGAGAGGCAGAGCCAGCTGTCAATCAGGCAGCGGGGTGGATTCTGACAATATTACAGGGATCCTTCCTGGCTGCAGTGCGGCTCTGCTCTATCAGCATACAGCGGGCATTTGAGATTTGGGTCACAGGAAGGCATTAGTAAATGTATTCTGTGACCTTCAAAGGGAACTAATGCCTAAAATGGTTTGGCCATCGTTCTCTTTTAAGGCCACCCATTCATTGGAATGGGCTGCCAATGTTCCAGCTTGGCAAAGTTGGATATGCATCATTTTTTCTGTGCACATGGTAGTGTGTTGTGGTGCGCTGCAACATTAAGGGGTGTCTTGGGGTGCTAGTCAGTACAGCATTGCACTACATCCATTGCAGTAACCTGTGCTTTCCCATGTGTTACCACAATGCAACACACATTTGAATGGGGGGTCCTAAGATCTAATCTCTTCAATGTGGACATAGGCTGCATGTTGAAGACTTACATAAGTGCTAACCCTTTACTCTGTCTAAAGGTTTGGTTGAATTTGAGTCCCTGGATGACCGTGTCCATATCTCCGGCTGATGACCGTCTGTTGGGTATCCTTAGACCTCATAGGACCGTTCTTAGGTGACAAAGCAACCGGACTGGCTTGAAAAATAAAATGTGTGTACTCGCCTTAATATCCTTTTCTCTGCGTTCATCGGAGGACACAGCAGCCGCCCCTCTGGCTTTGCTGTTGCACTGCAATGCCGTTTAATGAGTTTTTTTCAAACAAAAAGGGGGGTCTTTGTAACTGTACCTAGTGTCCTATTCCTGCAGGGGGCACTATACCCAGTAGGTGATTATCTAAAGGAAGGTCAAGCAAATTCCAGCTGTGGTGAATCTACAAATTCCATCATGCATCTGCCTCCGGGAGTCATGCCTGTGGCTATCAAGAGTCTTGCAATACCCAATAGGATTAGTAGTTGCACCGCAGCTGGAGGGCCGGAGTTTGCCTGCCCCAAAGCAAAGCTGTGTCCCCAACAAACGAGAAAGACGCTATTATTATTTGCCGCAGTGCCAGGAATGTGTACAAGGAAGGCAACCCCTCCTGTGTGATCCTGTATGACCAGCCTTCCTGTGTGGCTCATAGGCCCCATTCACACACGAATCGGCCGGCACGTACAGCTTCGTGCTGCGTGCTGGGCCGTACCAAACAGCTGCCGGGACGTACAGGTGCTGCGTGTGATTAGTACGCAGCCCCCATCCTTCTCTATGGGGCTACGCGGCTGTACGCCCCCCTACGCTCACCTCAATTGCAGGTCCGTAGGGATGCGGTTTTTCTGGCCGGGACGCATACAGGATCCATTCCGGCGGCGTATGAATACGATCACCCGCACCCCTACGGACCTGCAATTGAGGTGAGCGTAGGGGGGCGTACAGCCGCGTAGCCCCATAGAGAAGGATGGGGGCTGCGTACTAATCACACGCAGCACCTTTCCTTCCCGGCAGCTGTTTGGTACGGCCCAGCACGGAGCTGTACTGCCGGCCGATTCGTGTGTGAATGGGGCCATAGACTTTGCCTGCAGCCGCTGTGTCGCCATAAACACAATGTGGTTGGATTTGGGCTTTTTGACTGTTAGAACGGCGAATATTTGTTATTTTCAGGGGCGTTCATTTTGGGGTTTTTTTATATGTGAGAGTTCTAGAGCCGTTTGGAAATCATTTTCTGAGTCATACTTAATAGTCGGCTTCTTCCTCAGGAAGCGAAGGTGAAGTCGGCGCTCATTTGTGTGTTCGCTAAGTGTTTTAGGATAAGGCTTCTATTTCTGGTGCTCGTTGAGTGCTTTCTGAATGCAAAAAAAATGTACATTTGGAGCCTTAATGTATACACAGCTGTAATATGTCATATTGAAGTAGCTGAAAACCCAGTTCACGAAAATCTCAGAGAAGCTTTAACATGGTAAAGAAGAACTTCGAGCAAATCAAACCTTAACCCTTGTAATGGGGCTACCCGGGCACTGGAAGGGTACACTGATCGCTTTGTCTAGTGAGCTACAATGACAGAGTTATACTCACCTGAACCACAGTCCCTTCAGCCTCTCTCCTCCTCCGCTTCAGCCATTGTGCATCTTAAAAACCCAAAAAAGCCTTTCCAGTTCATTGTTCCACATTATCAGGGTGTGGCGTACTACTGCGGGCCCATTAGCCTATGGTTTTTGGATTGTATGCCCCTCCAGCGTCCTCACGTCCTATACACTCTATAGGATGTAATGACTTGCTTGGTCCTTAGACTGCTGGAGCAGATGGGGAGCGAGGGTGAAGGGACCGGCCTAACAGCCAGCCGGGATCACATGGCGGGTGAGTATAACTGCGTTATGTTGGCTCCCTGGACAAAACGCAGTGCAGGGGTAGCCTCACTACAAGGGTTAACATTTCATTTCAGAGTTCTCCTTTAATGTCGGTTTAAAAGTCATTTTTTAATCTGCAACTTTCATTAAAATAATCCCTGGTGATCCTGCCATGAAGGTCCTTGTTCAGACACTTCCTTTTATAGGGTGACAACACTCTGTCCCTGTCTGCTAGTTGTGCTCCTGAGTTGTCACATGGAGCTTCCGATGGGGAGTACTAGTGACTCTGCAGATGCACATTACACAGACATGGTCCACTGTTGTCACTGTCGGGGAACCCGCTCTGAGAAATGCAATGCAGCCATCGATCGCTGGAGTGCATGTGGGGATGTAGGGAAAGCCTATCCCACCTCAACCTAACCACTGAGCTATCACATTCTCAAACAATTCATCCCCACACAGCTACCTCCTCACGTATCACTTCCCTCTCCCTTTTAGATTGTAAGCCCTCAGGGGCAGGGCCCTCCTTACCATCTTGTCTTGAATTGTATTGTGATTGTAACGTCTTCCTTATATTGTAAAGCACTGCGCAAACTGTTAGCGCTGTATAAATCCTGTATAATAATAATGTAGACAGGAAGTGGCTGCAGGAGAGCGCAGAAAAGGATGGAGAAAAGGTGATGAAGGTGTTTAATTTCAGTCGTTCATGGCACCAAATGTCATATTTGAGACCGCGGTGGACAAATGACGATGGAACTCAGGAGCCGGTCTGTCCAATCCAGGAGCCAGCTGGATATGTATAGGAGCCAACTCCATTGACAACAGCTAGAGAAAACCTCAAACGTTGGTCGCCCGCTGTCATTTTTAAGGAGCGTTGGCGACCCGGCTCCTGGGATTTGTCCGGCCCTAGATGAGACTTTCACCATTTACTGCCTTTACGTTCACCTAAAAGATTCACCTGCAGTATATGTTTGCTGAGTGTCAGATTCACTTCTTACATGTCATTTACGCGCACGATCTCACAGGTTTTTCTCTTCTCTTCCAGGTTGCCTTATAAATACTATTTTGGTGGAGTCTCGGCACTCTCCCCCGAACAGTACATGAAGATAAACGGATTTCCCAACAACTACTGGGGCTGGGGCGGCGAGGATGATGACATCGCCACCAGGTGAGTCCCGCACGTGAAAAGCTCAGCTGTCCTCTGCGTCAATCGCTTTGTCCTTTCGGCTGCCGTTTTCTTTGTGTCACAATCAGTCACTTGGAGGCTTTCTCGCGGTTGCACAATGCTGGAGGAGCTTAACCTTATCTGCAATTGCCGACTCCACCTTTCATTATGTTTTAAGTCACATTTCACATAGTTTCTCTACAGCTAGCACCCGCCTGTTTACTTTACACGTCTTTCATGGCATTCATCTTGACATAAAGCCGGCTTCTTCAGATAGTTCTGGAGTGCCGTCCTTTTATTAGGGTTGGGGACATTGAGCAGGTCCTGTACATTTACCTCATTAATCATTACTTTAGAGACTCTGTCACTTTCCTCATTTAAAGTATAAAAAAGAAGAAAGGAACGCCAAACCAAATGATGAAACTGTCCGAGTTGCTTTTGATTGTTCATAATACGATCATAGCATAAAACAGCCAACGCATTTCGGGAGACAATCAATACTCGAGACAATAGAAGCTTGTTTCCATACGTACATATGACTATATAAAACTAGTTATTGTCAAAAGTTCCTAATGTTACCACCACATTGGAGAAAAATCAGCGCGTAGGCTGCGTATATTTTATTTCAAAATGACGCTCTGCCTACTGCTTGTGCGCAATTATTATTGTTATACAGGATTTAGATAGGTTTGCTCGGAGAACTCTCTGCATTACCCAGCCCGGATCTTGTGGCATCACGTGGCTGACCTGATTCACTGTGTAATGGTGCAGAGAGCTCTCCACGCTATGGAGGACCACTCAGCCCGGATCTTGTGGCATCACATGACCATCCTATTTACTGTGTAATGCTGCAGAGAGCTCTCTGCCTCATGGAGGACCACCCAACCCAAATATTGTGGCATCACGCGGCTGACCTGATTCACTGTGTAATGGTGCAGAGAGCTCTCCACGCTATGGAGGACCACTCAGCCCGAATCTTGAGGCATCACATGACCATCCTTTTTACTGTGTAATGCTGCAGAGAGCTCTCTGCATCATGGAGGACCACCCAGCCCGGATCTTGCGGCATCACACGGCCAACCTGGTTAAGTGTGTAATGGTGCAGGGAGATCTCTGCATAGTAGAGGACCACCCAGTCCCAGACCTTGGGGTATCACGTGACAGACCTAACTCACTGTGTAATGCTGCAGAGAGCTCTCTGCATCATGGAAGAGGTGTGTATTGAACGCACTCTAAAGAGTGGTTACTTGGGGGGAGTTTTGTGTGTTCAAAATTGGGTGATGCTGGCGTGCTGCTCTTTGGTAGGCAGGTGAAGGTGTCCTGCAGAAGAACTGGAGACAGAAAATCCCACACGAGCGCCACAGCCTAGCACAATGGATATGGCAATGTAATGTTTGAGAATAACAATGGTGCATTCACTGAAGTATTAGGCTTGGAGAAAAGGATAACATGCAACCACAAGTGTCAGGCTGTGGAAGAAGGTTCTGTTTGAAGACCTCTTGGTGGTATGTAGCTGATGGCGATGTATGTGCCTCAAATGGGACAACATTAGCAGAAGAAAAAGCAGAAAATAGATATAAAGAAGCTGAAATTGCACTCACATGGAGGTGTATGAGAGGGAGCTCATCTGATGTCTGGTGTACAGGCGAAGCCGCGGTGGAAGGTTCATCTACTGTCCTGGGCGGTGGGGGAACAGCAGCTTGGTCCAGTGGAGAGATGTCTTGGAAAGATAGCTGCCTTTCCAATTTCATGCTAATGTTGTGTTCCCATTTGAGGTGCATACATCACCATCAGTTACATACCATTAAGAGGTCTTCGGACAGGACAGGACAGAACCTTCTTCCACAGCCTGACACTTGTGGTTACGTGTTATCATTTTCTCCAATCTCAATACTTCAGTGAATGCGCCATTGTTATTCTCACACATTATATTGCCATATCCATTGCGCTAGGCTGTGGCGCTCGTGTGTTTTCTGCATCATGGAGGACCTCCCAGCCTGGATCTTGTGGTATTACTTGGCCTACCTGAAGATTTAATCTATATAATAGCATACAAATACAGGCTCAGGGAACATTCGCTGAAGGGAGGGAGTGCGGCAAAGTGCAGTGCCCCGAGTTGGGCTATTACGGCATTTTAAGAGGCGGCTACCCAATTTAATGCGGGATTTCTCTTTTCTGAATCTTGCAGAGTTGCACTCAGTGGTCAGTTGATATCCCGGCCACCGGTTCGCTATGGAAGATACAAAATGATAAAGCATGGACATGACAAAGGCAACGAGCAAAACCCGAAACGGTAAGAGGAAGGACTGCGCTGAGGGACGCATTTCCCCAGTGGATTACACTCGACGCATTGCATGTTTGTGTATGCTCTGCGTAGGCCCCATTCGCACATCCGAATAGATCCAGACAGCGGATTCCTGCTGCAAGAATCGCAGTTGTATATGAACATCTGAGGCCAGGAAACCTGTACAGCCAACGATAGGCTGACAGGAGCCGTGGGTGTCCACCGATGTTCGCATGTGGTCACCAGCGGCTAAGGACAGATATGGAATCAGCTGGACAACTGTCCTCAGCCTCACGTAACTGCTGGCGGGGCGGACTATGATTCCAGCTGCGCGTATCCACTGTCCATATCTGTATTGACGTGTGAATGCGGCTTTACAGCAGAGGTAGGCAAACTCTGACCCTCCAGCTGTGGTGAGACTACAAATGCCATCATGCCCGTGGCGGTCAGTGTTGCAATGTCCAATGGGATTTGTAGCTGCACCACAGCTGGGAGGCCGGAGTTTACTCCTTACAGCATCTACCTGCTTATATCATTCTCAGTGTTATAATATGAGGGAGGAAACTATTGGAAAAGACAGCAAGTCACACAAAATGATTATGCAGCGATATGTGACCCTCGCAGTTTCATGGCCGCGTCCTCTCAAAGGTCAGCCAGCTACTGATGCATCAGCGGCCCTGTGTGCCTCACGTCAGCGACTCCCAGGGGCCACATGTTATTGGGTCACCGGTCTCCAACTAGTTCCTTCGTGGTCACAAGCTCGGGTAATGTGTTTAAGATTCCTGCTGAGAGGGTGAAATATGCGGTTAATCTCTTCATCCTCTACTTGTATGATGTTGTGCAATAATCACATGACAGGTTAAGGTCTGACCTACTGGTCTGAGATCTGCTAGAAATTTCTAGAGACTCCAAGTTCTAACAAAAGACATAAAGCTGAAATTTTATCTTATATTTAGATATTTATTTATTACTTTTACGCACTTGCTGTATTTTAATGCATTCATCCAGCCACGGATATACACTATATTGCCAAAAGTATTGGAACACCCCTACAAATCATCGGATTCAGTTGTTCCGTGACATTTCCTGGCTACTAAATATTCCGCGGTCACCTGTTACTGGGATTATAACAAAGTGGAAGCAACCGGGAACAACAGCAACTCAGCCAGGAAGTGGTAGGCCGCGTAAAATGACAGAGCGGGGTCAGCGCATGCTGAAGCGCACAGTGCTCAGAAGTCGCCAACTGTCTGCAGAGCCAATAGCTACAGACCTCCAAATTTCATGTGGCCTTCAGATTAGCACAACAACAACAGTGCGTAGAGAGCTTCATGGAATGGGTTTCCATGGCCGAGCAGCTGCATCCAACCTTACATCACCAAGTGCAATGCAAAGCGTGGGATGCCGTGGTGTAACGCACGCCGCCACTGGACTCTAGAGAAGTGGAGACGTGTTCTCTGGAGTGACCAATCACGCTTCTCCGTCTGGCAATCCGATGGGCGTGTCTGGGTTTGGCGGTTGCCAGGGGAACGGTACTTGCCTGACTGCATTGTGCCAAGTGTAAAGTTTGGTGGAGGGGGGATTATGGTGTGGGGTTGTTTTTCAGGGGTTGGGCTTGGCCCCTTAGTTCCAGTGAAGGGAACTCTTAAGGCATCAGCATACCAAGACATTTTGGACAATTTCATGCTCCCAACTTTGTGGCCACAGTTTGGGGACGGCCCGTTCCAATACTTTTGGCAATATAGTGTATCTCCACATGACAGCAAACCAAGAGGTCATACTTCTATATTTCCACCTCCTCAGACCGGTGGCTGGTATATACTCACTGTTTTCCTGGCCGCCAGTCTCAGAACATCCCCTATGTAGCTCCTTCATATGCGATCGGTTGACTTAATTGCATTGCTCCTTGCTGCAGTGGATGGATTGGGGAAGCTCAGACTCCCACTCAGCAACTCGCCCCTCTGACTCCTAATTTACGCCCATCGCTGCTACAATTCCCATTGCATGATGGCACTTGTAGTTTGTTACAACCAAGCGTGAACATTGGCGTGATGTTAGCTCTTCCCGCCTTTGGGGTACCCGGGCAGGCATATCTGCGGTTTCTAAATAGAAGCAAGCAAGCGTTCTTGCGCAATGCGGAAATGCGTGCATGATTGCATGCATCTGAACGAGGCCCTTGAAAACTATATGCATGTCTAAGAAAACTCTGACCACAGGGTGACAACAAAACACTGCACTACAGGACAGTGTTGTCACTCTTTTAACCTCTTGCCGTCCGCCCGTAGTAAAAAAACGGACGGACGGCACTGCTGCATCTGCGGGCACGCACGGGCAGAAAAGACCCGATCAATGCACACACCCGTTACCGGGTGTTTCACATATAGGCGATCAGCGGGTCCATAGCCCGCCGATCGCCTATATGTGCTCGTTCGCGGCAAAATGTTTAACTCCCCCACCCCCATGTTTACGTGCCTATAAACGTAAATACGCGTCCGGTGCCCCAGCGCGCAAAAATTACAATTGCGCTACACATGTTACATATCGCCGCGAACGTCGCAGTGAGAGCAATCATTTTAGGGCCATCAATCACTGATAACACTAAACTGATGAGCGGTAACAGCTTTTAAAGCGTCGCCTATGGCCAATTTTGGGTATTATCGTTTTTTGAGGTTTCGCGCGCACGCAATTTTAAGGCTTGACATGTTTGGTGTCTTTTTACCCGACGTGACCCCATCTTTTATATTTTACCAAAAAATTGGGTAATAATAAATGTTTTATCATTTAATATAGGGGAAACTGTGTTTTTTTTTTTTTTTCCTGCTCCCAAGAGCTAAATGGAGCTGACACAGAGAGGAGAACAATGTGCACGGGGGGGAGGGGATTAAAGAGACCCTGTTGCGTTTCCATATCTGGGTAAAGAAGAACATATTTACTTAAAGCGGACCTTGCATGGCAAACAGAAGTTCTGCTTTTTATGCCCGCCCCCTTCGCTCCGTTGCTGCCAATTACGTGAGATTCTGAGTGGCTCAAAAGCCGTTGAAGTTGACTGATGATTGATTTGTCTTTGGCCAGCTTTAGTATCGAGTCCACAGGCTACGTGCCACCTAGATCCTTGCCTTGTTCTTGTCTTTCAAGCACCTCCTCAGACGTTGCATGGCTACAGTCTACACACGTAGCGTGCTTTGTTCTGACTGGATGGAGTTGGATTTCTTTGGTTTTTCCCCAGTGCATTCCTCCGTGCTATAAGGTTTTGGCTGGGGGCCCATGACTCAGCTTATTGTTCTCTCCTTAGATGTTTGTTCTGGTCACTTGTGTGTTTAAGTAAAGTTGGTTTTTCTAATGCCCCAATACGACTTCAACAATAGGAATCATTCCTCAGAATCGCATCATCGAGTTGTTCAATGACCAAGTTTCTGGATGACATTGCGGGATTTATTGTTCTCCGTTAATCTCTAGATGTTGAAATCAGAACAGTCATCCATCCGTTGTGCAATCCCGGCCATTCTGATGCATTCATGACATCTATCCATTGTACAAAGGGGTCACAGAGGTTATTGGAAGTTTGTAACGTGTAGGTGGTCCAAGACTACTATCCATTGTACAAAGGGGTCACTGAGAGGTTATTGGGGTGTATTGGAAGTTTGTAACGTGTAGGTGGTCCAAGACTGCTATCCTTTGTACAAAGGGGTCACTGAGAGGTTATTGGGGTGGTATTGGAAGTTTGTAGTGGGTAGGAGGTCCAAGACTGCTATCATTGTACAAAGGGGTCACTGAGAGGTTATTGGGGTGTATTGGAAGTTTGTAGCGGGTAGGAGGTCCAAGACTACTATCATTGTACAAAGGGGTCACTGAGAGGTTATTGGGGTGGTATTGGAAGTTTGTAAGGGGTAGGAGGTCCAAGACTGCTATCCATTGTACTTAGGGGTCACTGAGAGGTTATTGGGGTGTATTGGAAGTTTGTAGTGGGTTGGAGGTCCAAGGCTACTATCATTGTACAAAGGGGTCACAGAGTTTATTGGGGTGTATTGGAAGTTTGTAGCGGGTAGGAGGTCCAAGACTGCTATCATTGTACAAAGGGGTCACTGAGAGGTTATTGGGGTGTATTGGAAGTTTGTAGCGGGTAGGAGGTCCAAGACTACTATCATTGTACAAAGGGGTCACTGAGAGGTTATTGGGGTGGTATTGGAAGTTTGTAGTGGGTAGGAGGTCCAAGACTACTATCCATTGTACAAAGGGGTCACTGGGAGGTTATTGGGGTGTATTGGAAGTTTGTGACTGGTAGGGGGTCCAAGACTGCTATCCATTGTACAAAGGGGTCACTGAGAGGTTATTGGGGTGTATTGGAAGTTTGTAGTGGGTTGGAGGTCCAAGGCTACTATCATTGTACAAAGGGGTCACTGAGAGGTTATTGGGGTGGTATTGGAAGTTTGTAAGGGGTAGGAGGTCCAAGACTACTATCCATTGTACAAAGGGGTCACTGAGAGGTTATTGGGGTGGTATTGGAAGTTTGTAGTGGGTAGGAGGTCCAAGACTACTATCCATTGTACAAAGGGGTCACTGGGAGGTTATTGGGGTGTATTGGAAGTTTGTGACTGGTAGGTGGTCCAAGACTACTATCCATTGTACAAAGGGGTCACTGAGAGGTTATTGGGGAGCTCCATGCTCCCTCAGCACTGCCGATACGAGGGAGATCTCCCTCTGACCGGAAGTTCCAGTATCGGAGCGAGTACGAGTGGTACCTATCTCAATACTCGGTATCGGTGCATCCCTAACGTAATGCTAAAGAGCTTTAAAAGCTTTCAGACTGCAATTCAATCCTCTCACCGTTATCCCATTTTCCATCACAGGTTCAACTTGTTGACAAAAACCCGGCGGACGTGGCGACAAGACGGCATGAACGCTCTCCAGTACAACTTCCTGTCCAAGGAGCTGCATCCTTTGTACACCAATATCACCGTAGACATTGGCTCCGAGAAAGGGTTCCGACCCATGACGTGAGATCCGACCTTCCTCCCGCCCCAACCAGATGTGCCCTATTTTGTTCCCACCCCGAGCGTCCTTCCAAGATGATGAGCAGGGACTCAACATGTGGACAATAAAATGCAATATATATGTTTTTTTTTTTTTTTTCTTTACACTTTTCTTTTTATAGAGATCAACAAAAGGCTAAAAAACCAAAGATTGGATACAGTGTTGCTGGACCCGCCGTGACGTCTCCTGGTGTCCCCAGGGTTTGGATTTTATAGTTACAACACATCCCCCTCCACCTCTGGGGTTGGTCCCCCAGTAGAATAGACTTGTGCACACGGCTTTGCAAGACATCTCTGGGGGCCCCGGTGATTTGTTTTTCTTTCCTGTCACTTCGTGAAATCAGATTTATTTTTTTTATAAAATATATAGAATTCTTTCAATCTTTTCACAATCGGGCAGATTTCAGAGGGCTTGTTGCACGAACTTCCTTCCAAGTGGACTGATGAGGCTCAAACTTGAACTTTTTCAGAGTCAAAGAAATATTTTGCTCCTATGACAATTTCATTTTTTTTTTTTTTTCCTTTTTCTGTTTTTTATTTTTTTTTCCTTGCATTTATTATGGACAATTTTTTGTTTTCTTTGCCGCACATTAACTTATCCGAAAAAAATCATAGAAGGTATCACACAGACGCTTGAATGCAAATGGATCAACAACCAGTATTAACTTTCTATCCAAAGTGCCTTTTTAATGCCAATAATGTGTGAGGGTGGGAAGAAACCCCGCCCCCCAAGGACTATGGAAATCATATGCTGAATGACTTTACTAGAGCGGAGTGGACAAGATGGTCTTACTCAAATGTGAAAATGTCAAGCGTTTCTGAAATAAAAATCTATACGTTGGAATGTACCTTGGAATAAAAGTTTTTAAAAATGTCCCCAGGAGGAATACAAATGGAAAAAAGCTTTGGCTGCTATACTCACTTTCTCTCTGGAGTTGTGCCCGCCTGCAGTACCTCTTTTCTGCCACAAGGTGTCCTCAGTCTTCCAGGTTGAGTGAGGCGACAGCGTCACTCATCCATATGACTGAGGATATACTTTAGCGCAGGGGTAGCAAACCTCCGGCCCTCCAGCTGTGGTGAAACTTATATTTAAAAATATTTTAACGGATATGAACAATAGAAACTATTTTGAAAGTTGAGTTCTCTGCTCCCCCCCCCCATATCAGAATTTGGCAAAAAGACATTGTTTAGCAGTGCTCCACATAGGCAAACCATATATACTTTGGGCTCACCCCATGGAGGCACCCCTGTATGTATTTTTTGCCTATTTTTGTTTTACACAAATCTTCAGGCTGGTCATACGTCCAGCGTGGTCCTCAAGTATACAGATACAGGACTCCCCTTCCGAGGATGAGTCCATGATACCCTAAAGCAGGGGTAGCAAACCTCTGGCCCTCCAGCTGTGGTGGAACTACAAATCCCATGAGGCATTGCAAGATTCTCACAGCCACAGACATGACTCCCGGAGAGAGATGCATCATGGGATTTGTAGTTTCACCACAGCTGGTGGGCCGGAGTTAGGCTACCCTTGGTCTACAGCATGTGTGACCTAATGTTCCTCTTGGTCAGGGCATCCGGCAGTTTCCGTTTGTTGCCCCCATTGCAAGGTGGAACAATAAACGGTATGGGCACGGATGTGTCACATGTGCGTTGACGTGTTCAGGAGAGGATCCGTGCAGTGGATCTTCACCTCATCACCTTGTGGGAAAGGGTCCTCAACTTCCTGTCCTGTAGAGAAAACCTCAGGTGTCCCCATGTGAAGAGCTCCCCTATATTCCTATTCTGGTGACAACTCAAAATGTTGGATTTCAATTGCAGTGACCATGGTCACCAGGACAAAAAGCAAAGTTAAATTTAGGGATGCACCGATACTGGTATTCCGGTATCGAGTACCGATATATATTTCTTTTGGTACTCGCCGATACCAAATACGGAGTACCGGAAGTCCCATTCAGGAAGCGGCGTGTAATGACTCGCCCCCCGGCTTCCTGATTAGCAGGGCGACCGTCACCATGCTTCTCGTCACTAAGTGAAGAGAAAGCATGGAGCCGGCTCTCTGACCAATCAGGAAGCCAGGCGCCCAGCTTCCTGATTGGCCAGAATGCCGGCTCCTTCGTCATGAGGTGACGAGGTAGCATGAAGCTAGCTTCCCGGCCCATCAGAAAACCGTGCGCCTAGTCATTACACGGCGTCTGGCTTCCCGATTGGCCAGCTTCCAACCGATCAGGAAGCCGGGCAGCGTGTAATGATGCGCTGTCCGGCTTCCTGATTGGTTGGAAGCTGGCCAATCGGGAAGCCAGGCGCTTCATGATTACACGGCACCCGGCTTCCTGATTGGCCAGAAAGTCAGCTCCATGCATTCTCATCACCTAGTGACGAGAAGCATGGGGACGGCTTCCCTGGTAATTGGGAAGCTGGGTGGTGAGTCTTTAAACGCCGCACGGCTTTCCCGGCAAATCAGGAAGCCCGGTGGCGAGTCATTACACGCCACCTGGCTTCCTTAATGGG